GAAGTTTGATTTTTCACTATAACTTTTTTAGTAATAAACGCAGAAATAATGCCTCCCTTGGTGCAAGCCTCGGCACCATAACGGACCAAATAGCGAAAAAAGGGGTCCGTTAACTTGGCCCCCCCACTGAGAGATTTCATAGTCGTATTATTTTGAAATGAATGCGCTCGTTATGCGCCCATATGCGCCACCGATAATAACTCTTGCGCCATTATCGTTTTTTAGAAATCCGAAAAAACATGGGGGGGGGCAAGTGAACATAGCCCCCCCCCCCAGTACGTATTTTGTCCCTTGTAACTAGGTCACCTGATACATTTGGTTATGCGCTCAATTGCGCCACTTGAATTAAAGCTAGCGCCATTACGGTTAAGCCGTGACAAATTTTCAAAAAGTGGGGGGGCCAACTTAACGTTTTCAAAAGTTACTTTTTTTTAACATATTTTCATACGAAATTGTACTCTCAGGTATGCGCTGAAATGCGCCGTAAAAAGATATCTTTGCGCCATTATTGTTTTTTGGTTATCCTTAAATATATTTGGGGGGGGGGGCAAGTGAACGGAATCCCCCATAACGCATTTTGCTACCGGTATTTGTGCCACTTGATACATCTGGTTATGAGCTCAATTGCGCCACTTGAATTAAAGCTAGCGCCATTACGGTTAAGCCATAAAAAAATTTTTAAAAAGTGGAGGGTCTAACTTAGCGTTTTCAAAAGTTATTTCCGGAAGTGCGTCCATTTTGAAAATATTTTACATCGATTCGGCCTTCGGAGTAACTCCTAAATACAAATTTTTAAAAACCTACCTATTTTACTTTCCCAGAATCGTTTAACTAAAGCTCCCAAAAAAACACCCTGTATAGTGTTTCTAAAACACTATAATGGCGCCAAGATTTTTGTTTACGGCGCATTTTAGCGCATGATGAAAGGTACAATGTAGTAAAAAAAACATGTTAAAAAACGTAACTTTTGAAAACGTTAAGTTAGCCCCCCCCCCACCCAAATTTTTTATGGCTTAACCGTAATGGCGCTAGCTTTAATTCAAGTGGCGCAATTGAGCTCATAACCAGATGTATCAGGTGGCACAAATACCGGTAGCAAAATGCGTTATGGGGAATTCCGTTCACTTGGCCCCCCCCCAAATATATTTAAGTATATCCAAAAAACAATAATGGCGCAAAGATATCATTTTACGGCGCATTTCAGCGCATACCTGAGAGTACAATTTCGTATGAAAAGATGTTAAAAAAAAGTAACTTTTAAAAACGTTAAGTTGGCCCCCCCACTTTTTGAAAATTTGTCACGGCTTAACCGTAATGGCGCTAGCTGTAATTCAAGTGGCGCAATTGAGCGCATAACCAAATGTATCAGGTGACCTAGTTACAAGGGACAAAATACGTACTGGGGGGGGGGGCTACGTTCACTTGGCCCCCCCAAATGTTTTTTCGGATTTCTAAAAAACGATAATGGCGCAAGAGTTATTATCGGTGGCGCATATGAGCGCATAACGAGCGCATTCATTTCAAAATAATACGACTATGAAATCTCTCAGGGGGGGGCCAAGTTAACGGACCCCGAAAAAAGTCGAACAAGAGCTCTTAAGATAAAAAAGAGCAGCGACCGAACGGCCGTAGAGAAGGACGAGCAGACTGACGGGCAGACCGCCGAACAAAGTGGCCACAATCGCGCATTTTTTTTAATTTTTCTGGAAATGCGCTAGAAAGACCTGCCGTTCCTACAAGCTATATTACAATTTTGTTTCACGCGAATAATCAATCGATCCAAAGACAACGTGTCAAATCGAAATTTGCAAAAAAAGTCACTTTGTATAGGTGATATTCCCAAAAAACAAAAATTCGATTCGATGCAATTTGTCGAAAAAGACACGTTACAAAAGGTTTCGTCAAAATTTGAGACCTACTTAAAAAAATTGTCAAAAATCGGCGCTTTTTCGATTCCATCATATATATCTGGCAATGGGGATTTCAAAAATATCTCCATCTCATAGAAAAAAAATTAATAATTTCGCTAATACTCAAAGTATTCGAACGAAAGAGAAATCATGGGGCTATGGTACCAAAATCATCTACGAAAAACGACACCAAATTGAAAATTTAAAAAATTAACCAAAACGGGCCGAAAATGGGCACTTACCGATGAAATTCTTTGGACTTTTTGTTAAGAAACAATTACTGTAGAGACCAGCTCTGTAATATATGATAGCCACCCCGACAGTAGAGTCGCAAGTGCGTTAAACCAGAATCGATTTGAAAAAGACAATTTTCATCAAAAATTTACAAATTCTGTTTTTTGCCAAAATCGACGTTAAACTACGAGAATAAGTAAGGACTGGACTACCAGGGCAGATAAATATGTTTGAATCTGTATTTTCCCATCAACCCACCCCCTCGACTTGTAAAAGGAAGAGAAAGAAATGTTCCTTTAAATGGCTCTGGCAGTAAGACGCAATATTTCACTGCTAAAGCGCTAAATAAAGTGTAATTCCACTGACTTTGCATTTTGCTGACTGTTTATGACATTTCCACCCCCTTCTCTGGTAAAAAAAAAGAAAACAATTTTCCTTAAATCACTTTGGTGGTGGGATGCAAAATTTCACTGCTAAACCGCTAAATAAAGTGTAATTAACAGATTTGCTGCAAAATTCCATCGACTTTGCATTTTACTGACTATTTATGAAATTTTCACCCCCTTCTCTGGTAAGATGAAAAGAAAACAATTTTCTTGGCAGTGGGGCGCAAAATTTCACTGCTAAACCGCAAAATAAAGCATAACTGACAGATTTGCAACAGCGAGGTTGCAAAATTCCACCCGCTTTGCATTTAACTTAATGTTTATGAAATTTCCACCCCCTTCTCTGGTAAAAGGAAGAGAAAACACTTTTCCATAAATCGCTTTGACAGTGGGACGCAAAATAAAGTATAACTGACAGATTTGCAAGAGCGAAGTTGCAAAATTCCACCGGCTTTGCATTTTACTGAATGTTTATGAAATTTCCTCCCCCTTCTCTGGTAAAAGGAAGAGAAAACAATTTTCCATAAATGGCTTTGACAGTGGGACGCAAAATAAAGTATAACTGAGAGATTTGCAATAGCGAGGTTGCAAAATTCCACCGGTTTTGCATTTTACTGAATGTTTATGCAATTTCCACCCCCTTCTCTGGTAAAAGGAAGAGACAACAATTTTCCATAAATCGCTTTGACAGTGGGACGCAAAATAAAGTATAACAGACAGATTTGCAAGAGCGAGGTTGCAAAATTCCACCAGCTTTGCATTTTACTGAAGTTTATGAAATTTCCACCCCCTTCTCTGGTAAAAGGAAGAGAAAACAATTTTCCATCAATCGCTTTGACAGTGAAACGCAAAATAAAGTATAACTGACAGATTTGCAAGAGCGAGGTTGCAAAATTCCACCGGCTTTGTATTTTACTGAATGTTTATGAAATTTCCATCCGCTTCTCTGGTAAAAGGAGGAGAAAACAATTTTCCTTAAATCGCTTTGGTGGTGGGATGTAAAATTTCACTGCTAAAACGCTACATAAAGTGTAATTGACAGATTTGCAATTTGCATTTTACTGAATATTTATGCAATTTTCACCCCCTTCTCTGGTAAGGTGAAAAGAAAACAATTTTCAAGAAAATAATTTTCTTGGCAGTGGGGCGCAAAATTTCACTGCTAAACCGCAAAATAAAGTATAACTGACAGATTTGCAACAGCGAAGTTGCAAAATTCCACCGGCTTTGCATTTTACTTAATGTTTATGCAATTTCCACCCCCTTCTCTAGTAAATAGAAAAGAAAACAATTTTCCTTAAATTGCTTTGGTGGTGGGATGCAAAATTACACTGCTAAAGCGCAAAATAAAGTATAATTTATACAGATTGAAACAGCGAGCTTGCAAAATTCCACCGGCTTTGCATTTTACTGACTGTTTATGAATTTTCCACCCCCTTCCCTTGGAAAATGAAGAGAAAAAATATTTTCCCGAAATCGCAATTATGTGCAAATCCTGAGGCAACAAATTGAATCGAAATTTTTCGAAAAAGGTAACTTTATATATTCACAAAAAATCAAAAATACCCTTTAAAAATATCAAAAATGGCGATTCGATTGAACCACGTCTCAGATTATGCATTTTATCACACAGCATACGTTACAGAAAGAATTTCATCAAAATTCCTTACCACCCTACCACGAAAAAACTGAAGAAAAAAGATTGTAGACCTCGTTGTAAGTAGAACCTCTTTTATATGCACAAATTAAAAGAACAATGACATTACGTAACAATGTCAAAGTGTAGACTTCCACGGCCACTGTCATTAATATGCGGGCGACTTTCGAGATATGACCGTGTCAATGAGGATCAAAATAATAATTAAAATGATTCTGTTTCTTCTTCTGATGAAGCCCCTTATGAAAGTGGGCGATACATCTCGGAAGTCGCTACGTAACCATATTAACTTGGGCACGTTGACACCCTTCGCCAAGGCCGATTTTATAAACCATTTGTGGTTTCAAAAAATCTATGTCCAATATGGTATGGAGTCTTTGTAAAAATTTAAAAAATGCCACAAAATCGATTTAAGGGGTCAAACTTCATTTGTGACTTCTGAAATTCTGTGCTATCTTAGGAGTTGGCTGGAAGCTATGAGGGAGATTGAGGTCCACGCCATCCTTATTGCAGTTATCGCGCATATGGTTTCCCGGAAGAGTGGAGTGGAGACTGGAAACATCGTCGTTTTTCCATTTCACGTTCGAGTCATTATCATAGCTTTGACCTATAAGTATGCTTTATGTAGGTATTTCCATTTTTTGCAGTTGCTCCAATAAAGCTCCTGTCCATTGGCGCAAATCAAAAAGGCACTGTCTCGGCACAATGCGGCACATCATTAGCACATTTTGATTTTTTATTTTGATTTCTTTTTATATTTGAGTGAGATTTGAATGGTGCATGGTATTGATGAAGTTTTGTTTTCTTTTTCAGAATGAAATGGATAGCATGATGCTCTAGAAGAAGAGCAAGGTAAACAGTAAATCGGAAATTTCAGGTTGACGAACGTTTTTAACAAATGCTTGACGCTTTCTTTGACAATATGCATTTTGTGCTACTTTTACAAAAAAAATTGTCGTATACAATATAGGATAACATCTATGATCTATAGATGTAATATTTAAACGCTTAAGAGAATTAAGCGTTTAACTATGAAAATTAGTTTATTGTTAAAAACTTAAAATATAAATGTTTTGACTTAGAATGTGGACTGATTTTAAATGATCAATTAGAGTATGTATATCGCGGCTTTAAACACGTTTGTAAATTAGATAAACGCGTTAAGGATACTTGGTTATTTTTGTAACTATATCTTTGTTATGTGATCATATGAGGCTGGTATGATCAGGGGTTAAAAAAAACTTATTTGTTCCTTTAAGAGAAGTAACTGTGAAGTCTGTTACCCATTAAAAATAATACATTTATATGCGTTTTCCTTGTATTTATCATCCGCTCAAATACTTAGACCGTAGAAATTGTTAAAAAATGTTATGAGCCCAATATTATAAACTACAGTTACCTACCGTTTGAAAACGATGAAAAATATAAGGATCCGCAAAAATGTCTGTTCATAACAATCACTAATACCTTTAGAGCTTTTTGATAAATAATACTAGAATAGAAGTGTTAGAACGTGATATTAAAACATCGTAATCATATACGAGTGAATCACATTGTAGGTTATTTTTCAGTAGGTAAGTTGGAAATGGAAAAGGTACAGGTTTGACATATCTGCTTTCTGACGTAAACACCGAAAAAATCTTTCATAAATGCGGTTTCTTTCAGAAACACTCCCTCATATAATCTATGAATGAACCAGACAACCTGTTGCAAATAACAATCGATATCTTTTCCTTACTGGTCATAAAGTGCACTCGTACTTAAATGCTATGTACAACATATCGAGCGGGTTTTTTTGCTATTAACCGTTTATGAAGATTTTTAATTACACATATCCCAAAAAAAATACGTTAGCACATATTTATATTTTTGAAATTTGTCCAAACATATCTTCAGATATCAATTAGGAAAATCACATCTAACACAATTTTCTGGTACAAAAGAAAACGAAATTAAGGCATTAGGGTTAATGTTTACACGTGTCTTCCCTATCGTAAGAAAATTACTAGGCTTTAAGAATGTAGGTAGAACAAACCATATACACGCAAGCGCATCCAATCGCTCAATATTTCCAAAATGTTTCCCATTTGATTCAGGAAGACACCGTCTTCCACCAACCAAAGACTAATAAAAAATATCAATATTAACGCTAACACTTGGAATGTAGTATTCTTGTTTCTAGAACGTAATCAGACACTTTGTGATGAATTAGACAATAATTACAGTATCCCTGTAAACTTACGTAAAATTATTTTTAATTGGAACCTTATACTATAAAACTGCAATGACAATAACGTTAGTCAATTTACTAATATTAAACTAATTACCTGCGTGTATTTATATCAGAAAATACTTGGGCCAACAATTTTCTGCTATAAATACAGTAAAAAACGACTACATAATTAGATTGTCAATTTCAGTAGGTGTGAATGCACCTTTTAGTTACATGTCTAACCTCGTTTTAATCTTTATGTAAACTCTAATGCTATGTAATACTGTGATGTACCTATAGTAAACTTGGACAATATCAGAAACACCTATGTGTGGGGTCTAGCAGTATTTTTCACTTAGGTACGAGTGAAACCGTTATTTTATATGTAATATTTATATGTATCTCTAACTGGAATAAAATATATCTTGAGCATTGCTTTCTAGTTTTATTTACTCTACCTCTGGGCAAAGTTTCAAATGCAGTATTTAATATTTCACGTATCCCGCACCCCCTTAGGATTGTGACGAAGTTTTCAGTCGAAACTACACGAAGCAATTAAGGTAGGTAGTTTGCATCATGAGGAAGTCCCAAGATAGGTGAGTGTATTTTACCTTTACATTTTTACAATCCTTTACACTGAAATGAAAGTACGCAAAATTTGAAGCGAAACCTCAATGTGCGAATAATCGCCCCCCAGGAAGGTTCCCTCCGGAGTATTCGCACCCAGATGATTCGCGCGCGGAAGATTTAGATCCAAGAGAAGGCCCCCAAAAAAACTTGCCCCTGGGGTATTTGCTCTCAGAAAATGTGCCGTCAGTATCTTCTCTATATCGCTTTACACTTTCGAAAAGTAACGTGACTACCACCGATGCCATGTCAGCTCTCGTAAAGACTGTGATGCAGAATTACTTAACCAACCCATGCCCATATTTTGATCAGGAGATCAAAAATAGGAGTGAAAATCGGCTTTTATTAGCGCGTTTCTGGTATGAACGTTTCGAGGACAAACCTCTCGATGGAGAATATTCTGGAGGTGTAACATTTCGGGGGGTGAATTTACCGGAGAGAATTTTCTTCGTGCGACCTAAAGTCTCATTAATGGACGTAAAATACAATATAGAGCAACAAACATACAATCAAACCCACTACATCTACTACATCTACAGTTCTTTTATTTGAAGTAGCACAGAGACTAGGTAAATTAAAGACATCGTAAGAATTAATTAGGTATATTCCTTAATTAACATTTTGCAAATCCCACACAAGCATTTTACAATAAATGCAACCCCTTGACAATTAAAAAGCGCACGGGCGTTCCAGAATAATCAAATGGGATTTTTTGCAAACACAATAAATTGGGAAATTTCAAGCTTTCCTCATTTCGAAAACCTGATGTGCAGTCATATTACTAGTAGTAAGAACCAAAGGCAGCTTGATAGACAATACAACCAAGGACTGTCTTTCCGAGCGCTTTCTTTAAAAGTTAAATATCCATTTCGTTCATTTATTACTTCCTAGAGCTATAATGGATCGGGTCCAAGCATTTTTGTTAATACAATATGTTCCGTAATCAAGTTTTGTTAATGTGACGAGTTACGACATTTATAGCATCGAAACTGCAAAATAAGTACCGTCCGTTTACGAGGCGATCCATATTAATATTTAGGAAAGGTCTTGCAACGGCCGTTTATGAATATTAATTCAGATATACAGGGTGGTGTTTTTTATTGCCTTTTTTGAATAATCGATCAAAAGGAATCATTTAAAAATATTTTCTATCTTTTCTGATGGTATTTTTGAATTACTCATAAAAAATCAGTATGTTTTTGTTAAATAATGCTATGTCTAACTGACATGGTTTCGAAGTTATTTGACATTTTTCACGTTTTTTCACAGTTTCAGGTCTGACAACAGCAAATTGTGTTTTTTCAAGAATGGACAGTTAAAAATCTACTCTATTAAATGTTATTGGTCTAATTTTCAAATGCAATTCGATAATACATATAATCGGGCAAAGTTGACAATCGGTTTTTGGTCAAAAACTCGAATTTTTCAAATATTTACTATGTATCAATAGAAAGAGCATAGAAAACCGACAAAAAATGTACATGCAACATTTTTCTAAAGTGGACAGTTTTTTTTAGATTCTTTATTCAATGATTATTATTGGGAGAAATGTTTTATTTACTAACATAATATATTTTTAATTATTTATTTAAGATTTAGTTATTGGACTTTTTCTTATTTTTTTTGTAATAAAATTCCCAAATGCGATGATTATAGTTAATAATTAACGTTGAATTTCTCAAAAATGGCTTCAACGACTCTTAAAACGCCCCGACCAAATGCTAGCAAGGAAGAAGGAAGGAAATCTGCATTTTACTTGATTTTAAAAATGCACAAATAAGAATTCGCCATGAACTAAATAAGTACAGTGACCCTCAAACAAATTATACATGAGAAAACCAAAATGTTACAATCTGTAAGGATCCAATACCTACCTACAAGGTTATTATATAATAAATCAAATTCACAGACTCTCTTCCAAGTTACAGTTCGATTAGGAAACAAACTTTCTTAATTTTAGTGTATAAAGTCAACAAAAGCTAAATAATCTTAAGAGAAGTAGCTGCAATAATAACAAACTTAGCAATAGTAACAAATTGTATTCTGAACAGGGAAGAGGTACTTAAAAAGGGAAATTATTGATCTGGACCACACGCGAGTACTGAATATCGGAAGAGAGAACCCACGATGGTTCATCTAGCCGCATCAGTTCATAAACACAATCCTGATATCTTCAAAACGGAAAAAGTCGTGTTGAACTGGCCCAGGTGCATCAGTTAATAAAGTCGAAAAATGGTATTTACAAAGGAGAAAGTGAACGTCTGAACCCGGGTGTCGGTGCGGTGAAACCTTTAAACATCTCGAGAAACGACTCACAAAAGGCGATTGGAACGTAGTGATATCAAAACGAATATCCGAGAACTGAGTATCGGAGTAGGGTACTCAGCTGCGCACGAAGAGAAAATGGAACATATGACAAAGATGAAGGGATAGAATTCATGAGAAACATCTGTGTGACCTTCGTTGGCGAAACAAAGAACTATTGTAATAAACACTTGGAACAAATTTACTACATCTAAACTAGTGGAGTAAATACCTAGATGGCGTATTGAATATACATTAGTGTAAAAACTGAAAAATTAAATAAATTAAGAGAGATGTTCAAGCAGGAAAAATCACGTCACAAATCAATAATTTTGGTAATATTCAAGGTATTCGAACTGTTGACACGTTGGAAAGAGAAAGCATAGCTATTATATAACACTTTGTGGGCCATAAAATATTCAAAAGCGTCTTCGCGAAACGGCACCAAAGTGAAAATGAAAAAAAAGAAATGGGCCCAAAATGGGTAGGTACTTACAATTTATTTGGACTTTTCGTTGCTTAACGATTACTTTAAAGCCTGCTTCCCCGACAGATGCCTTTCCATCCGGACCCTAGGGTAGTAAGTGCGTTAAATCTGAATCGATATGAAAACGCCAACTTTTTTCAAAAATTTGTTTTTGCTAAAATCAACATTATCAAGAGTTTAAATAAGTGAAAAAGTTTCTCTGAATGACGTTTTGGGGGTCTCAAAGTTTGATATTGGCTAAAAATCTCATTAATGATCGGCGCTGCTGTTTGATAGGGATTTGAGGTTCCTAAGTGACCTTTTTGTTAGCGGAAATGTTAATATATCAATAAAGCAAAACATTCCTAATTACGCGAGCGGTCTCCAACCGTCTCAAATCAACACTGAGAAATTGGTTCATGGGGTGATATATAACAAAATATTTTTAATAAACTCACTATTTCTGTAAAGCACCCTGTCGGGATAAATTGCTGCAATTTTGCACGTAATTTAAACAACAAACAAACCAATTTAGTTTTCCAATAACACGTGCTTTCAATTATCGCGACTATAACTAAAGTATATACCGAGACCATTTGCGTAAGGCCAATTTCGAAAAGGCGAAGTAAAGAGCTAAAGGCAAATACCACGTTCGTATTTCCCAGTGGTATCTTCTGTCGTCATTTACGAGAAAATCCTACAATACGATTAACATTATATGGTATTACTTTCCGATATTTATTATTTTATTGCAAATACAGTTTAGGGGTTGATCACAACGTCTACCTATTTTATATCACGGTCGCATTTTAGAGGTTTCTTATGTTTCAGTTACGAAAATTTATAGCTTTTTACGTGAAAGCGATACCCGAACGAAACAATATCGACACCGTTTATTGCCAGTAACTTTAATCATCATATGAACATATGAACTATCCCGCAGGTCAGTATATACACTTTTAAAGAATTGCTTAATGCAATTATTTGTGTAATTCATATGCTAAAATACAAATACTGCCTCCCTGATGTACACGGGGTGTAAATTCCTCCTGAAACTTTTCTCATAACTTTTGTTTACTTAAAAGACCAAAGATGCAGTTGTCAAAATTCACCACGTATCCCGAAGACATGCTTAATCAAGGGATAATTTTCACTGGTTTCTCTAAGTAGGTACCTAAACTCGAAAATTCCAACGGCTAGCTCTGTATGAAATAATTGTGTAATATCTCCGAATGAAACAAGCGGTTTCTTTCCATTTTTTACTTGAAACTTGAATTTTCTGGTTAATGGACAATAAATATTCCAACACGTAACACAAATTTCTAATTATTTTATGTGGATTAGTTTTTCTACCCCTAACTTATTGTCTCTATTAGAAGATCCTATTTTAGGGCCAATTTACATAGGTAATTTTACTGAACTGTGGAAACTGCCTCAAAAGGATTTACATCTCTGTTAATATATTGCACATAATTGCTGAATGCGGAAATTGTTTAATAATAGCATAAAATTATAATTTCTATTCTTGATCAATGAAACTTTTTCTCTCCGCATATAAAATTGAATCGACCTCCTCTGTAAAATGGATATTTCTTATAGCGTTTTCGATTGGCAGAACTCGTACTGCACACTGAGAGAAAAATCTGTTAGCAGTAATTAAAAAAAATTAATACTATATGTGACTATACAACTTGTTATTCATGATAATTAAACAGAGTTTTCTGTACCTGTTTGATTACAGTCAAATTTTAATTTTATTTGTAATTACATCAATTATCGTAGGTATTTGAAAACCTGGCAACAGACATAAACGTTCTTTAGAGACAATTAAAGGCATTTATTATGAATAATAAACAGTTTAATTAGAATAAGTGTACGTTAATCAACCTTAAATAGTACACTAAATTGTTGTAAGTATTAATATATTTAGGAAGATTTTAACCGCAAAATAACTGTAGGTAGCAAAGTGAGGTGTTGTAGAAACGTAGTTAAATGAGAATGGTTTGTTAATTGACTTACTGCAGTACATCTTGATTAA